AAATTCAAAAGCATAGAGATAATATTAAACATCTCAGTCCACAATGCTACAAAATTAGAAATTAATAAGAGGATAAAGCAAACAAAACACCCCATACATTTGGAAGCTGAACAACACCTTGCTTGAACATGAGTGTTCTATTATTGCTATATTGCTCCAGAAGAGCATAAGTGAGTACTAAAAGGAATAAAAAATGAAATTAAAAATTTCTTGAGACAAATGACAATGAAGATACAACTTACCAAAATCTCTGGGAAACAGCCACAACAGTAATTAGAGGTCAACTTATAGCAATAAGCATTAAAAGACAGGAAAAAATGACCATTAACTCTCTAACCCAACATCTTCAACAAATTGAAAAAGAATAAGAAAACATAACACCCTCCAAAAAAACCTTGATTATAAAAATTTAGGCAGAAATAAATGAAATAGAAAACAGAAAAACAGGTAGCTGCTGCTGCTACCGCTGCCACAGGGGCTGCTCAGTGGGCTTCTCTTATGCGCCGCCCCACATCAGGCTGAACCCAGGGAGCTGAGGTGCCTTGAGACAGAGAGTGATTGCCACTGCCCACGGCTGGATCCCAGGTCAGAGACTGCAGGAGGAAGCAACGGTGGCAGCAGCGAGAGTCCCCTTGGAGGTCTGGGACTGGGGAACTGCCGCTGACTTCATGATGCCAGTATGAACAAAATAGCTTATGATGCTTATCCTTACCCACCACTTTTGAGACACTGAGTGGAAACTAAAATACCTGTAGTTGGAGAAATTTGTCCCACCTGCCTCCCCTAGTCCCTCTGGAGTCATGTGGTTTATCTGGGATGGCTGTGCATGACTTGTGCTATTGTCTTCTGGTTTCTGATCCTTTACACAGAATTCGTGGTCATCTTTGTCATAATGATCCTGTCCAGAGACTACATCTACAGCATCATCAATGGGATTGTCTTCAACCTTCTGGTGTTCCTGGCCCTGGCCTCCCACTTCTCAGTCATGCTGACGGACCCCAGAGGTGGTGTATAAATGTCCCAAGTGCTGCAACATCAACCCTGACTGGGCCTACCACTGCAGTGTTTGTAAATGCTGCATTCGGAACATGGACCACTACTGTCCCTGGGTCAATGACTGGACGAGAACAAGCAGAAGTACTTTGTCCTGTTTACAATGTACATAGCCCTCATCTCTTTGAATGCTCTCATCATGGTGGGATTCCACTTCCTACATTGCTTTGAAGAAGACTGGACAAAGTGCAGCTCCTTCTCTTCCCCATCACAGTGATCCTCCTCGTCTTGCTGTGCTTCTAAGGGCTGCTTTTCCTCATCTTGACATCAGTCATGTTTGGAATCCAGGTGCACTCCATCTGCACCGACCAGACAGGAATAGAACAATTGAAAAAGGAAGAGAGAAGATGGGCTAAAAAACCAAAATGAATGAACATGAAAGCCATTTTGGCTACTCCCTATCCCTGGGCCAGACCAAGGAAAGGCAGGCCCATACCAGTACGTGGTCTGAAGGAACCCGGCACCATTGCCATACAGACACAGGCTTCACCATACCACTATCATTCTCCCATTTTCATGAATGTTTAGACCAAGAAAGCAACTACTCTCAAACTTTCCTCTTTAAAAATTTTTTAAAATGTCTTCAAATGAAACAGCTGAACATTGCAGAGAGAAAAGTAAAACACCAAACAACCCAACCCAACCCCACCACCACCCTGGGCCCCTTCCCCACCTCATTTTTTCTTTTTTTAATAGATCATCCTATTTTTTTGGTGACCAAAGCTGCTCTTGTTTTCGCTTTCTAAAATGACTTTTCTGGCCCTCTGGTTTCCTCTCTGCTGTCTGTCTGGCATGACTAACATGGAGAGTGCTGTCTCCGGGGCTGTGCCCCCTTCTACTAACCATGTGAAATGCAAGTGATTCTGGTGGTGGAGGGACTGGCCCTTGACACCTGAGTGGGGACCTATAGGAGGGCCAGGAAGGCCCATAGCCTCTCCACTGCCCAGTAGGCAGTGGCAGGCTCCTGGATGGGAATGAAAACCTCAACGATGGATGCTTCCCCTTGAAGCCTGAGCAGGGCGACACCAGGCCAGAGCCCTCAGAATGGCCTTGACAAGCTGCCTAGCCCCCAAATGAACACAGTTTGCCTCCTGATTTGTAATCAATTGCCTGCCCTTGTACCTTATGGGCTTGGGCTGTGGAGAGTGATTTTGGGGGAAGGGATGTGAGGATGAAATTAAAGGGGTCTTATTTGTTCTGGGGGGGGAAAAGAAAACAAAAAAATTAAAACCATCAATAAAACCAGGAGTTGGTTTTTCAAAAAGGTCAATAAAATTGACAAACTACAAACAAAACTTATAAAAGAAAAAAAGACACAAATATGAATAAGGGATGAAATGGGTAATGTCACAATGAAACCAACTAAAATAAAAAAGTTAACAATGGAATATTATGGAAAAACTATACTCACACAAATATGAAAACCTAGAGGAAATGGACACTTAAATTCATGAACATTGATGCAAAAATCCTGAATAATAATTCACCATGACCAAGTGGGATTCCTAACACATATGCAAGAATGGTTCAACATAAGAAAATCAGTGAAATTCATCACATTAACAAAGCAAAGAACAAGAACCACATGATACTATCTATTGATGCCGAAAAGGCCTTTGACAAAATCCAACACCCTTTCCTGATTTAAAAACTCAACAAAATAGGAACAGAGGGGAATTTCCTCAGCATAGTAAAGTATACATGCAAACCCGAGGGCCAACATTTCTCAATGGAGAGAGATTAAAGGCATTCCCCTTGAAAATGGGAACTAGGCAAGGATGCCCACTACCAACTCTCCTATTCAATATTGTATTGAAAGTCTTAGTGACAGCAATAAGACAAGAGAAGGAAATAAGAAGTATACAAATTGGTAAAGAGGAAGTAAATTATCTCTATATGCAGATGATATGATAGTATACTTAGAAAACCCTAAAGATTCAGCAAGAAATCTACTGGACATAGTTGACCAATTCAGCAAAGTGGCAGGATACAAGATCATCATACAAAAAAATCAACTGGATTTCTCTACAGTGACAAAGAGAATACAGAACAGGAGCTACGTAAAACAATACCCTTCACAATAGCTAATCACATGATTAAATACTTGGGAGTAAATCTAACCAGAAGAACAAAGGATCTATTCAAAGAAAATTACAAAACATTACTACAAGAAACAAAGAGAGACCTGGAAAAATGGAAGAATATCCCTTGCTCAAGGGTAGAAGACTTAATATTGTGAAAATGACAATACTATCAAAGGCACTTTACAAGTTCAATGCAATCCCAATACAAATACCAATTTCATTCTTCAACGAGATGGGAAAAGCAATCTCCAATTTAATTTGTAACAGAAAGAGGCTCCTAATAAGCAAAGCATTCCTTAAAAAGAGATACAAGGTAGGAGGCATCTCACTCCATGATTTCAAATGCTGTCGTGGTGGTCAAGAGTTTGGTACTGGCACGATGGCAGACACATAGAGCAATGTCAGAGAACTGAGAACCCAGAAATCAGCCCATCTACCTATGGTCAACTCATTTTTGACAAGGAGATTAAATCCATTAAGTGAGGAAACGACAGTCTTTTAAACAAATGGTGCTGGAAAATTTGGAAAGCCATCTGCAGAAATCTCAAGCAAGACTTATACCTCACTCCATACACAAAAAACTGAAAGTGGATCAAGGATCTCAGACTAAAATCAAGGACTAAAAACTTCATTAGAGAAAAGCTTGGAAGAGCTCTACAAGCCCTAATCCACAACATAAACAGTCTTCCAAGCATCCTGAAAAACCTATAACTGGGAGAGGATATAATAGATGAATTCCCAGGCATACCCAAAAATTTCTCCAGCAGGATAAAACAAGGAATCCACAGACTGGGAAAAAAGATTTGGTAATGACATGTCTGATAAGGGATTTATACCTAGAATTTATAAAATACTCCAGCACCACAGCAAGATAAAGGTAAAAAAAATCAATTGAAAAATGGGCCCAGGATATGAACAGACACTTCACCAAAGAAGACATTAAGATGGCAAACAATCCCATGAAGAAATGCTTAAATGCAAAGCAAAATAACTATGAGATATCATCTCATACCAATAACAATAGCAAAATTCAACAGGTCAGCAAACAAATGCTGGTGAGGTTGTGGAGAAGCTGAAACCCTTATTCACTGTTGGTGGGAGTGTAAAATGGTGCAATCATTATATTGCTCCTTTCCTAATAAACCCCATAACTCCAAGCACGGTCTACAAAATCTGTGAGGCTATTGCAATGAGTGTTAGAAATCAGCAGTGAAGTAGAGTTGTGTGAAGGGGTAGTTTCTGTCAGAATTGTGGATTTTTAAAAACAGGTAGTGATAGGAGGTATGTCTGACCTCTAAGGATTCAGCTTTGGGTTATTGATCCTGATGATTTTCTTCCCTGCTTCTGAAGTTAGATGAGGTCAGATGGTTCTGCCATGCCATTTTGACAAAAGCCTCAAAGATCTGCTTGTTCAGATACAATACAAATAACCAATTTACAATGCACACACATAGATACATCCATGTACCCACATATTTATTACTTTGTTTCAGAATGTTTAGTTTGTGTTAATACTTTTGTTAACAAGAACTGTTTCTCTAGCCTGCAGTGAACAGATGTCGGGGCTGGTGGTGGAACCTTAATCTTGGGAGTTCTCCAAATCATAGGAGAACTAGACACTTTTCCCAAGGAGATCCAGAAACACAGGTTTACTGTTACAGGGAAAGCTTCTGTGTCAAAACTTGAGAAGGTGGAGACTGAGTTCCTGGAGCTGTATTCAGAAGACTGGGGAGGTTGGTATTGGCAGACTTCTTCCTATGTTGAACTTGGCAGTGGGCAAGAGGAATAGGAGTGGAGACAATAGCTTCTTCTGGAGGAGGAAGAACCGGAGGCAGAATGGTGTGGATTTCCCAGCAGCTCTTTTTATGTCAAACTTTTATCAAGATCCAGTTTTATAAACAAACCTAGCCAAACAAAATAAGAGAAAATGATTATAAGTCATTTGATTACAATCTGATGGGACTAGTTTTTAGAGGAAAGACACAGATATAAAGGGGTATAGATTCATATTTGTATTTTCTGTCTGCCCACTCTTAACTTATTTCCAGTTAAATAATCAACGTTTGACTATCACAACACGGTGTTACTTTACACTGGGTAATCAGGGCTCTCTCACTTGGTCATTTTTATGCTTCATTACTACTTCCACTAGAGATAAGGAAGTAGAAGGAGGTAAAACTAAAATCAAGCCATCTGGCACTTTTATGATATTGAAAACTTTAGTGAGACAGGAAGAATAATCTACAGTCTGGAATGGTTTTTACATTGAATATGAATTAAAATTATTCATGATCTCGCTTTTCCTCTTTTATTCCATCATTTCTATAAACAGCTGATACTTTGAAAAAAAAGAAATTTCTTAGGCAAGACACATAAAGCACTAATCATAAAGGAGGAAAAAGCAATAAATGTAACAACATTAAACATTTTTTGGGGAGAATTTTCATTTTTTAAAAACTTGTGTTTTAAGGAAAATTTACAGAAAGGTTAAATTTTCATTCATCCATTATTGCTCATTTACATATTTATTAAAAAGATATAACCTACAAAGACTTATTTAATATAAAATATATAAAGAAGTTCTAGACATCAATAAGATGAAAAGAAAAAAGTGATTTCTGGGTAAGATGAGTGACTTATTATAAACTCATGAGAGCTTATACCTCTCTTCAAGATAATAGCAAACAAGGACAGCAGATAAGAAGGCTAATCCTGGAATCCTGAGTGGATAAAGAAAAGGAGTACTTCAAACATGTTCAACCAAAGAAACGGAAGGAAAATATTGACTAAGGCGAGTGATGGAGCCCAGAACTGTAAACAGCATGGCCCAGCCATTCTGAAGTCTGGCCTGCTAAGGTAGTGTGGGACAGTTGGCAGCTGTCTGATAAGATGTGATCTCTCATTTGTTCCCACATCCTCTCCGGGATCAGGGGAGCCACCTCATTCCAACCAAGTGGCTGGCAGCATTTCTCCATCCTGCGCGCGCACACACACACACACACACACACACACACACACACAGCAAGAGAGAAACAGAGAAGGATAGATAGGGAAATAGGGAGAGACAGATATGGATAGATATATGGATTCTATGAAGAAAAATTTGGCATCAGGATTGGAGGAAGACTCATCCACAACCTTTGTTATGCAGATGATACAACTTTGCTTGATGAAAGTGAGTAGGACTTGAAGCACTTGCTGCAGAAGGTTAAACATTGAAGGCTTCAATATGGACTCAGCTTCATTGTAGCTTGAACTTCTATCTTCCTTTCCATTGGCTCTTGATCATATGGTATTTCCTGAAATATTTCAGTGTCAGCCAATTCTTTTTGGTACATTGATTTGCTTTATTCCTTTCATCTTCTTTTAATGCTTCCTAGATCATTCAAAAATTTTGCCCATAGCATCTCTAAGTATTAAAACTTAAGGCTTGAATTTGTTTATCAATAATTTTAGCTTCAGAACTGTCAAATGAGTTGAGTTCTTCTCTTTTATTCTTTAATTCTAGGTCTCTGCATAATCTGTTATAACAGTTTGCTTTGTCTCCTCTAGCTGCCCTTTGAAATCTTCTGTTTAACTTTTACTTCAACATCTCTTCCCTTTGTTTTGGCTTCTCAACACTCTAGTGCAATTTTCAGTCTCTTCTGACATCCATTTTGGCTTTTTTCCCCCTTTGTCTTTGTAGTGACCTCTGTACTCTCTACATGGATGATGCCCTTGATGCCATCTCACAATTCATCTGGTCTTTGATCATTGGTGTTCAAACCTATTCTTAAGATAATTTTTAAAGAGACACACAGAAACTGAGAAAAATGGAGAGAAACAGAGAGACAAAGTTAGAGGAAGATATGAAAGAGAGAGAAAAAGAAAAATACATAATAGAACTAAGATGTCCTGACTCATATCATGGTATGCTTTAAAAACTCACCAACTACTGTGGAAACAAAACAAAACAAACCCAAACACAAAAAAACACAAACCCAACCAAAGAAGTAAATAAAAACCCGTAACACCAAACTCTGATGGTGAAGTGGTTAAGGAGCTGCGCTGCTAACCTGAGGTAAGTGGTTTGTGGTTTGAAGTGCAAGCAGGGAGCAAGAGTGACACAGTCAGATATATCAAAATAAAATAATAAGAGTTCCCCCTAGACAAATAATGGTGATGTGCTAATTCTAGACCACATGTTGTGGTCTCATCCACCCCACAAATGAGCAGAAATGACGGCATGGCTGAGCACTTTAACCCCAAACTTGTTTGACTGGCAGAGAAACTATCTCAGACCAGACACCTCACCTCTCCAACCACCTGTGGCAAGGGCACCAATCCGGTGCCCAGCCCCCTTTTCCAAAAGCCCTCTCCCTTTTCTCCCTTTTTAAATTTCAATTGATTTTGGATTTTTGTTTGCTTGTTTGGAGCTTCTGTTTGCTTGTTAAGGAGCTCTGGTGGTGTGAAGTGTAGGGAGATGAGCTGCTAACCCGAAGGTAATCCTTTGGCAGTTCAAAACCACCAACTGGTCTGGAAGAGCAATCTCCTTTCTTGATATTTAAAGCCTCCGAAACCCCACTTGGAGGGTCAGCTAGAACAGAAATGAGTTTCCCCTCTCCTTTCAATTTGTTTAATTTTCTTTTTTTGCGATTATGGGTTTTTCCATTTCTTCTGCCTTCTCTCTAGCTTTTTTCCTTTCCCTTGCTCTATTTCCTTTCTCTCTTATCTGTTTTTCGTCACTTTTTTTTACATCCCTCTCAGTTTTAGTTTTTCTGTTTTCTCATACTGTCTAATCTTATAATATTTTTAAGGGGTATTTTTTGCTGGTTTTCCTTTTCTCTTTAGCAGAGCTGGCAACAGGATACAGTCACGTATCTATTACCTGCAGCTTCATCAGGTGCCACTGAGTTGACTATGACCCAGTGACCCTGAAGAGCAGATCTGTACCTCGTCCTATCTTATGTCATCTTCACCATCTCTGATATACTTGAGTCCAATATTACAGTCACGATCCCAATCCATCCTAGAGAGGGTTAAACCAGGCTGCTCCTTGGAGGAAGGATTCTGGGGCTTCGCCTGACATACTTTGGACATGTTGTAAGGAGAGACAGGTCTTTGGAGAGGGACATCATGCTGGGCAGAGTGGAGGGACGGCACAGGAGGGGAAGACCCTCTATGAGGTGGATTGATTCAGTGACTGGGGTAATCGGGATGGATGTGTCAGAGGCAATGAGATTGGCACAGGATAGAGCAGGGTTTAGGGCTGTTGTACATAGGGTCGCTATGAGTCGCAGGCGACTCGACGGCACATAACAACAACAACAACATCCCAATCCATCTTGAAGGTTGTCTTCTCTTTCACTGAACCTCCACCTTTCCAAGCATGATGTCCTTTTCCAAGGAATATATATCCTTTCCTCACTGAACTGCCACCTTTCCAAATATGACGACTCTTTCCAAAGAGAGAGGAAGCTTGCCTTTAAGCAACATCTGGTTGCACTTTCTCTAAGACGGAGTTGCTTGTTCTTTTGTCAGGCCATGGGATATTCAGTACTCTTCAACATCACAACTCAAGAGCATAGATTCTTCTTCTAGCAACCTTATTCACTATCCAACTTTCAGATGCATGACCAGTTCCTGCTCCACCTGATTGACGACAGACTGTAACTAACACCAGTCCAATCTTCCCTCAACTGCTCTGCACAGTGAACAGACAGCTTGCACACATACCTGCTTTATCGGTTCTACCAGAAGACAGGTACAGGTTTCACACAGCAAGTTCTTCCTCAAAAAGCTGAACATAGAAATTCCATATGGCCCAGCTATTCCATTGCTTGGAATATACTCCAAGAAAATAAGAACTTAGGCTCAAATGGAGACTTGTACACCAAGGTTCATAGCAGCATTATTTACCATTGCAAGAACAGGGAAACAGCCCAGGTGTACAACCACAATGAATGGATGGGAAAGTTGTGGTACATTCACACAATGGAATACTATGCAGCACGCAGGAGCAATGATTTTGTAAATTACTACCTAACTTGGGAGGGAATGGAGAGCGTTATGCTGAGTGAACTCAGTCCCACAAGGACAAATCCTGTATAAAACTATTGTAAATGAGTATGAGGATCCATGGAGGGGGGAAGGTGGACTCAGAGTTGTTAGGATGGGCAGGGGTAGGGTGGAGGGTTAATCATAGGATTGCACAATTCAATTGGTGAGAGGGTGAAGGAAGGATCTTTTGTGAAAAACAATGTATTCAAACTTTGTAAATAAATCAGTATAAATAAAATAAAAAAAGACAAGGTAGTAACAGGCATAGATAGATGTTGTTATGTGCCGTAGAGTCGTTTGCGACTCATAGCGACCTTATGTACAACAGCCCTAAACCCTGCTCTATCCTGTGCCAATCGCATGAACTGACACACCCAACCCGATTACCCCGTCATTGAATCAATCCACCTCATAGAAGGTCTTCCCCTCCTGCACTGTCCCTCCACCCTACCAAGCATGATGTCCTTCTCCAAGGACCTGTCTCTCCTTACAACATGTCCAGAGTATGTCAGACGAAGCCCCAGAATCCTTGCCTCCAAGGAGTAGCCTGGTTCATCCCTCTCTAGGATGGATCTGTTTTCTTGGCAGTCCATGGAACATTCAATACTCTTATCCAGCACCACAGCTCAAAGGTGTCAATTCTTCTATCCTCCCTAGTCAATGTCCAACTCTCTGATGCATAACAAGTGATTGCAAAAACCATGGCCTGTATCAGGCGGACCTTAGTCTCCAGAGAGACACTGTTGCTCTTGAGTACTTTAGAGAGGTCCCTAACCGCACTTTCACATCGCAATATGTTTTTTTATTTCCTGGCGGCTGGTGCCAAGAGTATTGACCGTGGAGCCGAGCAAACTGAAGCTGTATTCAATCTCTTCGCCATCCATCCTGATGCTACCGATTGGTCCAGTGGTGAGAATCTTTGTCTTCTTGACATTGAGTCCCTCCTGGCCACGTGTCCAAAGTATGTGAGACGGAGCTTCAAAATCCTAGCCTCCAAGGAGAGACTTGGTTTCACCCTCTCCAAGACAGACTTATTTGTTCTCTTGGCGGTCCATGGTGTGTTTAAGACTCCTCTCCAGCACCACATCTAATTGCTTTCGAAAAATTATTCAGAAATGAAGGGATAGAGGAAGAGGAGAAAGGAAGATAAGAGAGACAATAAAGGGGATCCTCCCCTTTTCATATTACTGATAACTACATTCCTAATCCTGTACTTTGTACTTTTCATTCAACATATATTAGAGCTTGCTTTTTATCATACTTAAAGAGCTTCCTTATTTTTTTATGACACAATGATATTCTGTGGACTTCTATTGATGGATATTTACATTTAACATATTTTTAACTGCAGATAACATCACATGAAGCAATTACTGGAACCCTACATTAATCACACACACTGTGATTTCACTCACTGGGATAAAAGCCAGGTATGTCATATGAGTTTTGACTTATGGCAACCCCATGCATGTCAGAACTGTGTTCTACAAAGTTTTTAATGGATGACTTTTTAAGAAGTAGATCACCAGGCCTTTCTTCCAAGTTGTATCTGAGTGGAATCTAATTTCTAATCTTTGAGCTGAAGCCAAATTAGTATACCTGATAGATGATAAAGTTCTGGAAGTAGGTTTGATTTTTAGAGACTGGCAAATAGTTCTCTACCAGCAATGTGAAGTATACCTTTAACTTGTTCACTGTATGCTATGGAGTTAAAAATGTGGGGGTATATGTGTTATAAGACAAATCAATCAATCAATCAATAAGTAAATAAAAGGAGAGGGAGCTACACAGACAGACAGACAAACAGCAGTGTATTACTTGTTCCTTCGGCGTGGAGGGTCTTCTCATCAACACTTCGAACATTAAAGGAAATAAACAATTTCCTTCTTTCAACTTTATCAAGTTGGCTATTTATCACAGCAACGGAATTAATGCAGATAGGTCTGCAGAAAAAAAAAAGATAGGTTTTTAATTACAGTTTTGTAATGCTGACAAATAATCAAAGAACATTACAAGGTGTAGAAATTTAGGACAACTGCTATTCACAGGCTTAGATAAAATATCGTTAAGGATGTGGACATGGACAGTCTTTCATGTCATCCATGTGACCAGGTGTCCTTCTAGGCTGGGGTCAAAGTGATGGCCAGCAACTTTAGTTCTGTGACTGCTGAATCTCTCTGGAGGTTCAGAGAAAAATGTGTAGGGAGCAGAAGGCATTTGAAGAGGTAAAAAGAGTCACAAGATGATGACAATCAGCTACAATTATTCCCACTGTCACAATAAAAACGTCTCACTAATTCTCTTCAAGTAGCCGAAACTTTGCACTGTGTCATTAGAAAGGTTCCTAATAACCAAAAAACTATGAGATCTCATCTCAACCCAGTAAGAATAGCAAAATTTTACAGAGTAGCAAACAACAAATGCTGGCGAGGTTGAGGAGAAACTGGAACCCTTATTCACTGTTGGTGGGAGTGTAAAATAGTACAACCACTCTGGAAGACTGTATGGTGCTCTCCCAAAAAGTTGCAAATAGAAAACCATTTGGCCCAGCAATTCCAATACTGGGAATACACCCCAAAGAGACCATAATTGCCATCCAAGCAGGTATATGCACGCCCATGTTTATTGAGGCTTTGTTCACAATAGCAAGGAGTTGGAAACAACCTAAGTGCCCATAAACAAGCAAATGGATAGAGAAGCTGTGGTATATTCACACAATGGAATACTATGCAGCATTGAAAAACAAGGAACTCATGCAATATTATTCAAAATGGGTGACCTTGGAGGACATTATGCTGAGTGAAGTATCTCAGTCACAAAAGAACAGGTGCTGTATGGTGCTACTATTATAGAATGGGACTGACATCAGGGTTGGGGTGAGACTAAAAAAAATTGGATAAATTATGTATACTGCATTGAAACAGATGAGAGAGAAGTGTTTGAAAGCGATATAAGATTGGGTATTACGGTTAAGAGTACAGAATGAAGGTTGCATAGTGGAGTGTACTCGTGACAGGAGGGGGGGGATTCTATACCAATGAATTAATTTTTCTTTTACTTTTCAAAGAAAAGAGTGAACTGGGGGGGAGGGGTGAGCAAGGAAAAAATGTAACAATGAATATATGGAAATAAAAAAATCTCTGTAAACGTTCATTAAAATTAATTAAAAAGAAAATAAGAAAGGTACCTAATAACAAATTGATGGTAACAGCTTACTGTGCTAAGTCAGTGTTCCTTAGAAGAACTTTCTATGATGATGGAAATGTTCTGTATCAGAGCTGTATAGTTTGTTATTGAATAATATGGTAGCTATGAATGGTATTAAGCCCTTGAAATGTGGTTAGCCTGAATGAGAAATATAATTTTTAATTTAATTTCATTTTAATAGCTATCTGTGACTAATGATTATAGTCACCTACAGGAAATGGAAAGAATCTCTCTTCACAGGTGAAATTTCAGTTGGCAAAAAGATGGCAAAAAAAAAAACGTTGGCAAAAAAACCAGCCAGGGAGATGTTTCATGTTCCTGTAGTACCACCATGTGGATGAGAAAACTACTCCAGCTGAGGACACTCATTGTGATTACCTAGTTTGTGCTCCTACGATCTCTTAATATTACCACCAACATTTTCCAAGCCACAAGATGGCACTATCAAGCTTTGTCCTTTTGTAGTCAAAATTTACTAAGGTTTGAGGGGATGTGGTGGTATAGTACATACAGAATTGTGCTGCTAACCCAAAGGTGGTCCCTCTCTGGCAATTAGAATCTACCTACCAGCAGTTCTATGGGAGAAACATGGGCCTTCTCCTCCTGTACAATTTAAAGTCTCTAAAAACCCCACTGCAGGGTCAGTTATGAGTTGGTTCTAAATGGACACTGAGTTGAGCGGAGAGCTGAGGGAATGAATGTCAAGTGTTCTCACCTGCCCAGGACCTCACTCTCCTACCAACTTTACTCTCTCTTCCTTTCCCTCTGTCTCTCTCTTTCACACACTTAAACATACTCCCTTTACTCTAGAGAATCACCTTGCCTTCATTCTTAGCTCTTAGAGGCTAACTAGAGTTGACCCCACAACAATCCTAGGACTTCTGATGGTGTCCTCAGGGCTTACAAGATACAAGCTAGGCTGGTGTCCATTGCACCAACATGGGAGGAAAAGACTACCTGAGAACATTTTGTTACCTATTTATCACACATACAAAGATACTGGATCCTGGAATTCATACACTCTGGAAGGAGCTGGGCCTCTGAATTGAGAAAAGTCCCTCACAAACCTCAATGGTTTCTGTAGAATGTGGAGACTGTTAAAGTTCTAATTGTCCTCATGTGCCATAAAGTTGACTCAAGGCAACACCATGAACAGCAGATCTGTACCTTGCCCTTTCTATGCCATCCTCATGATCTGAGATGCTCAAGCCCACTGCTATGGTCACTGTGCCAATCCCAGCATAAAGTCTTTTTACAAGGACTGCTCTTCCTGACAACATGCCCAAAGTATGTAAGATGGAATATCACTGTTCTTCCCTCTAAGGACCAACCTGGTTGTATTTTTTCCAAGACAGATTTGTTTGTTCTTTTGGGGGTCCTTGAGATATTCAGTAAATCTAACTTATTTACCACAGATTTTAAAAGATTCCTTATTTTTTTACTTCGAACAATATGATCATAGAACATGAGAATTAATATCCCAATTCTTAAAAATTTAGATTTTATTTTACATGTACAACTAAGGAAGACAGAAGAATTGATGCCTTTGAGTTGTAGTGCTAAAGAAGAGTGTTGAACATACTGTGGACTTCCAGGAGAACAAACAGGTCTGTCCTAGAGAAAGGGAAACTGGGATGCTCCCTAGAGGCTACGATTTTGAGGCTCCATCTCACATACTTTAGGCATGTGGCCAGGACAGATCAGTCCTTGGAAAGGGACATCATGCTTGGAAGGGTGGAGGGACAGCACAGGAGAGGAAGGCCTGGATGAGAAATATTGACCCAGTGACTGGAGAAATGGGATTAGGTCTATGGGAGACAATGAGACTGGCTTAAGATAGGCAGGTTTCAGAGCTAGTGTACATAGGGTCGCTATGAGTCACAGACAACTCGATGGCATATAACAGCAAAAATGTGTATGACAATATCTGGAACAAGGGGTATACTGTGTACAGGGCTGGGGGAAGAGTGAGGGGAAGAAAATGTGCAACAATGGGAAAACAATAATATATTTTTGATGCTTTAAAAATTTAGATTTGCTTTATGGACCAGTATATGATCTACTTTTGTAAATGGTTTGTGCACATGGAGAAAAGGATCTTTTCCTCAAGTACCAGATGCAGGGTATATATCCAATAAATGACCCTTGTTATTTCATGGATGTTTACATCTTCTCTAATTTCTTTGCCCAGTTGACCTGCCAGGAATTGACAGCAGTATGTTGGAATCTCCCATCATGGAGGAGGCTTAGTAAATTATCAGTTTTGCTCATACAATATAATGCACTGTTACTATTATTGATTTAGAATTGTTACAGTTTGCTATTAAATGGAATCTTATTCTGAAGTATGTAAGGACTGTTGTTGCTGTTTGGTGTCGTCAAGTCGAGTATAACTCATAGCAACCCTACCATATGAACAGGAGCTATTGTTAATGAAGGAAGAAGTGGAAGCTGTACTGAAGGCATTGGCAAAAAAATAAGGCCTGAGGAATCGATGTGATACCAATTGACTTGTTTCAATTAACTGATGTAGCTTTGGATGATCTCACCAGTCTATGGCAGAAAATTTGGAAAACAGCTGAATAGCTGTCTGGTCAACAGACTGGAAAAGGTCCATATTTGTTCCCATTCCCAAGAAAGGTGATCCAACTGAATGTGGAAACTATAGATATGTAAGGACTGTTGTTATGTGCCGTCGAGTCGTTTGCGACTCATAGCGACCCTATGTACAACAGCCCTAAACCGTGCTCTATCCCGTGCCAATCTCATTTGTATAAAACTTTGTTACCTTATAAAACTAATAATCTAAAAATATTTGATAGGGGAGAAGAGTTCTTTTCTAAAGAATGCCCTTAATAGGTTATGACTGTTAAGGTTATTTGTTTAGGAATAAGTAAACATAACCTGGCTCCCCGAGGGCTATGACATAAAACCATTCAATTCTTTGGGATTCAAAATAAAGATGTTTTGCCACTTAAATGTTTCTACTCTGTGAGGTTTCCATTTTCCCCAATATCTATTTTCTTTCATGTCTTTTAATCATGTTTTATTTACAAAGGATGTCCTGGTTTGTCATCCACAGTTTGTTCAGTCTTAGTATACAAGTGTTTCAATGTGACAATTAACTTCTTGAGATAGTCTCTAAATTCAAGTGGGATATACTCAAGATCATACTTTGGTTCTTATACATTTGTTTCAATTTTGTTCAACTTGATCTTGCATATGTGCAATGCATGGTCTATTCTAATGTCAGTCTCTGGCTGTGTTCTAAATGATGATACTGAGTGTTTCCATTGTCTCTCCACAGATGTAGTCAAACTAATTTCTGTGTATTCCAGTGAGATCTTATGTGCATAATCACCACTCATTATACAGAGAAAGGTATTTCCAATGAATAAGTCAATGGTTTTGCAAAACTCCATCATGTGAATGGAGAGGGAAAAAAGTAAAATAATTGACCGGAAGATCTCAAAGGGTGGCTTGAGAATACAAAGTATTACAATGAAATGTGCAAAGACCTGGAGTTAGAAACCTAAAAGGGAAGGCACACTTGGAATTTCTCAATCTAGAAGAACTAAAGAAAAAAACACAATCCTTGATTTGCAATATCCAAGGACTCTATGGGCAAAATATTGAACAATGTACACACAACCACACCCACAGAAGGTCTACATGATTAACCATTTCAGGAGGCGGCATAGGATCAAGAATCAATCGTACTAAAGGAATAAGTCTAAACTGCACAAATTTTCATCAAGGTTAGTTGCTGGAGAAGTCGACCTACAACATTTGAGGAGAAGAATTTCAATAAACTTACCTTTTAAAATTGATATTGAGATTGGCAGTCATGACAATTCCCCCAGCGACCATTGCATTCATACCAAGAGTATCATCAATCAGGGCAGAAATGGCACCTCCATGTAGAAATCTAGTTTCAAGAGGAGGAAGAAAAATGTTTTCAGTAATTCTCAGGAGAGAGTGAAAAAAATTATCTAAGTATATCCATATATTTAATTATGAAAGGTCCACTTAGCTCATGTTTGGAATTGAATGTCAAATAATACTCTCATATCTGGATTTATTTTGTTAATAGCACAACAGCATGTTAAAAAAATCTGTAACTTAGAAGTAAAAGCATGTACAAAGCTAAAACATAACTTTGAAAACATCTTGTTTTAATTAAAAATAAACATGTATCACAAACATTTTTGCTTAAAATTTCAGAAAATGGAGCATGACTGGCAAGCCAGAATGCAGATCCCCAGCTACTGCCCCCCTCCCCCCCAGCTGTGGCTCTAAATGGGGGGCACAGGACCAGAGACCCTGCTGATCCTGGGCAGTGAACCAAAGCTCTTCACGTCTGGAATGAAAAATGGCCTCCAATGGAGGTCATCACTGCATTGCAAATGCAAAAAGTGAGAAACAAAATTGAAAGAGTCTTTAAAAAAAAAGAGGCAAAACCTGAACAAGTTTGGTAGAAAAAGTGCAGGTGCTGTTGAGTTGGTTCTGACTCCTTATTACCCCTTATTGCATTTTCTGAGGCTGGGAAATCCTTTGAGAGGAAAACTGCTCATTTTTCTCCTGGGGAGCATGGGGTAGAAGCAAAAATCTTAGAGGAAAGGATTTACAGATGCTGACAATTCTTGGAAATCTGAAGAAAATCTAGATTGTCCAGAATTAAGCAAAGCACTTCATAATTCTCAAAAAGCTGGTAATTAAAAAGATGACATAATTGAGCCTCTACATCTTGTGGTTCCTAACCTTTATGTTTTAATAGACAAAGTGCTAGTCAATAGGCCTTTATTTTAAGAACTACCTTCCCTCTATAACTTGATTTGTGCCACTATTAGAACCTCTACTTGGAATATTATTGCTTTTTAATTTTTGACTCATGTACTTTTAACTTGTTAGTTAAATGTGTCTTCTAGGCTGCAACACTTCCATGATACATCTTCAAGGATATGAACATGTACAGCTAAGCACAATTAATAACAGTGCATCTAAATTCCAAAATCAATCTCCACAATAGTCTACATGTTTCCTATTGCCAAAAGGGCCTTTTAGAGTAGTGAGAGAAGATCTTCACCCTGGAACCTACAGCGTCCCATTTCAGCAGGAAGTAACTAAGAGAATACGCCATCCCCTTTTCCTTATGAATCAGGGTGAAGTCTATCTCAGGGAGGAGTGGATAGGGAATGGCAAAGGACACACTGACAAAGGAGATTAATCTGAACTGGCTTTGACAAGCACTGTGGCAATGGGACAAAAACAGACTTTCAAGGGGGAATAAAAAAAAGAGGAATGAACTGGGGGGAGGGAGGGTAGAAAAAATAGTGCAACAATGAATGAATGGAAACCCAAAATCTCTGTATTCATTAAAATTAAAAAAAGAAAATTTTTACCTGACAGTAAATTTGATAACAAAGAAGACCTGCTGTTGACAAACCAAGAGGCTGACTCGGTGCTGGAGAACGAAGCAAACAAAAATGCTCTCTAACTGGAATTGTGTTTTATGAAGAGAAATGCACTTATTTAAGAGCGTACTGTGGGGAGGGGTGGGCAGGGAGAAAAGTGCAACAATGAATGGAAATCCAAAGTCTCTATAAATTTTCATTAAAATTAATAAAAATTTTAAAAAATGAGGGGAGCTCTGGTGGCCTAGTGGCAAGACGCTGCACTGCAATCCCAGAGAAACACGGTTCGAATCCACCAGATGCTCTGCCGGAGAAGGAGGCGCAATATCCTCCTGTACCAGTCAGATCTGATTTGACGGTACACACACACAAAATAATAAAAAATAAAAAAAAAATGAACTTATTTAGCATTTGTCTCTGTAAGAGTAAGCTCAGTAATTGTTTGCATTGCTATCTATATCTGGGTCTTGGCTTTTTGATATATTAGTGTAAAGAATAATCACTTTCTAATGGAAATCAGAATTAATGGATTATCAAATGGCATGTGTCAACAAAGAGTGGATGCCTGGATGTGCTCAGCACTCTATGCCAAGAAATTTGGAAGACAGTTACCTAGTTAATTGATTGAAAAAGATCCATATTTATTCCCATTCCAAAAAAAGGTGATCCAAGAGAATGTGCTAATTAGAGAACAATAATTATTACTATCTTAAGTAAAAAGAATTTTGTTGAAGATTATTTAAAAAATGGCTGGAACAGTACTGCGACAGTGAACTGCCAGAAATTCAAGCTGGATTCAGAAGAGGCTATGGAACAAGGTATATCATTACTGATGTCAGATGGATCATGGTTAAAACCAAAGAATACTAGTAAGAGATTTACTTGTGTTTTTTTTATTTTTTTTATTTTTTACTTGTGTTTTTATGGACTATGCAAAGACATTTGACTTGTGGATCATAACAAATCACAGCTAACGGTGAGAACAATGAGAATCCCAGAACACTCTACTATGCTCATGTGAAACCTACACATGGACCAAGAAGTGTTGTAAACTAGAACAAGGGAATGTTGTAGGATTTAAAATTATGAGAAGTGTGCATCAAGGTTGTACCCTGTCTTTACACCTATTAAATCTGTATGTTTAGCAAATAATTTGAGGATCTGGTCTATATGAAGAAGAATGTGGCATCAGGACTGTAGGAAGTCTCATCAACAACCTGGATTATGTAGATGACACAACTTTGTTTCATGAAACTGAGGAGGACCTGAAGAACTTGGTGCAGAAGATCAAGGACTGCAGCCTTCAATATGCATTATATCTCAATGTCAAGAAAACACAGATCCTCACCACGGGGCCAATAGGCAACACCATGATAAATGAAGAAAAACTGAAGTTTTCAATGGTTTCATTTTACTTGGATCCATAATCAAAGACGATGGTAGCAGCACTCAGAAATCAAAAGACCTATTTTATTGAGAAAATGTGCTGTCAAGGACCTCTCCAGAGTACTAAAGAGCAAGGATGTCAGTTTAAATTCCAAGATGCATTGATCCAAGCCACAGTCTTTCAATTGCTTCCAATGCATCTGAAAGTTGGACAATGAATAAAAAGAACAGAAGAAAAAAACCCCAATGCCTTTGAAAGGTGGTATTAGAGCACAGAATATCCATGGACTGCCAAAAGAACAAACAAATCTGTCTTGAAGGAAGTGTAGTAAGCAGGTTGCACTTTAGAGACAAGGATGATAAAACTTCATCTCACATAATCTGGGTATATTACCAGGCAAGACCAGTTCTTAGAAAAAGACATCATGCTGGCAAAGGCGGAGGATCAGAGAAAGAGGGGAAGACTTCTAACAAGATGGACTGACATAGTGACTAACAATGGGTTGGGATATTTCAGAGATGGTAAGGATGGCACAGGATAGGACAAGGTATGAATGGTAGATAGCTTCATACAACAACAATGAAAGTAAAATTTTCTATTTGTTTTGAAGTAATTTAGGGGAGTTGCTGGGGAGTTCTTGCTGCATCTATAGCACTGGCTACTTTAAAATAAAAGAAATATCATTTATGAGAAAAGAATATTATATACAACCACTTGGCCAAGTGACTGGAAAAGATCTATATTTGTTCCCATTCCAAAGAAGGGTGACCCAATAGTGTGGAAATTATAAAAAAATATCACTGATTTCACATGGAAGCAAGAGTTGGCTGAAGATTATCCAAAAACGACTGGAACAGTACATCGGCAGAGAAATGTCAGAAGTCCAGGCTGGGTTTAAAAGGGGTCGTGGTACTAGGGATATTGTAGCTAATGTTAGATGGATCTTAGCTGAAACCAGGGAAAACCAGAGGAATGTCTATCCGTGTTTCATTGATTATGCAAAGGTGTTTGACTGTGTGGATCATAAGAAATTGTGGCTAACTCTGAATGGGAATCCCAGAACACTTGCTTGTGTTAATGCAAACTCTATACTCGGACCAGAAGGAAGTCGTCAGAACAGAGCAAGGAAAACACTGCATGGTTCAAAACTGAGAAGGGTGTATGCCAAGGATTGCCCTGTCTCCATACCTTTTCAACCTGTATGCAGAACAGATTATCCGGGATCCGGGAGGCTGGGCTCTATGAGAAGTGTGGCATCAGGACTGGTGAAATATCCATCAACAATCTGCGTTACACAGATGACACAACCCTGCTTGCTGAAACTGAGGAGGACCTGAAGCATTTGCTGCAGAGGGTCAAGGACTGCAGCCTTCAATATGGATTGAGGCTCAACATCAAGTACTGAAGAGCAATGGTGTTTCTCTGGAAACTAAGGTGTGCTTCATACAGGCCATGTTCTTTGCAATGAGTTATGCGTTAGAGAGTTGGACAATGACAAGGGAGGAGTGAAGGAGAATTGATGCCTTTGAGCTGTGGTGCTGGAGAAGAGTACTGAATGTACCATGGACTGCTAAGAAAACAAACAGGTTCACCCTGGAGAGGGTTAAACCAGGCTGCTCCTTGGAGGCAAGGACTCTGGGGTTAGTCTGACATACTTTGAACATGCTGCAAGGAGGGACCAGTCCTTGGAGATAGACATCATTCTTGGGAGGGTAGTGAGACAGCACAAGAGGGGTAGACTATGGGGTGGATTGATTCAGTGACTGGGATAATCGGAGTGGGAATGTCAGAGAGAGTGAGACTGGCACAGGACAGAGCAGAGTTTAGGGCTGTTGTACATAGGGACGCTATTGAGTCGCAAGTGACTCGACACAAGGTTGTGTCACTTGCATAATGTAGGTTGCAGAGGAGTCTTTTTCCAATCCTTGTCACATTCCTCCTCATTAAGTCCAGCCTCCTGAATGATCTGTTCTGCATATAGACTGAAAAGGTATGGAGAAGCATCCCTGACATAATCCTTTCCTGGTTTTAAACCATGCACTGTTTTCTTGCTCTGTTCAGATGACTGCTTCTTGATCCAAGTATAGGTTTCACATGAGCACAATCAGGTGTTCTGGGATTCCCATTCTTTTTTTGGGGGGGTGTGTTTCTATTCATTCATTGTTGAACTTTTCTGCCCTCCCAACCCTCCCCCCTAGTACACTACCCTCTTGGAAAAGTAAAAAAAAAATCTTTCATTGTTTTACAAACCCTCCCCCAGGTCCACTCCACTATGCAGCCTTTCCTCTGGACTCCCATCATGACAAAAATACCTAACCACATATCCCTTTTAAACAGTTTTGAGCCCATCTTTCTCAGTCTCTCCCCAACCCTGAGGTCAGTCCTGCTTTACAACAGTGGCACCATGCAGTATTTGTCCTTTTGTGACTGAGTTACTTCACTCAGCATAATGTCCTCCAGGGTCACCCATTTTGAATAATAT